AGAGAGAGAGAGAGAGAGAGAGAGAGAGAGAGAGAGAGAGAGAGAGAGAGAACTCTCTTACTTATTCTAAAAAGGGAGCCCAGAGTAGACCAAAATAACAATTACACCAAAGCCCAACTTGGTAGAGCGATGAGTTTGCTGGGGTTACTACCAGGAGTGTGGGTGAGGACTCACTTACAGGAGCAGGGATGACGCAAAAGCAGCTTCATCACCATAAGGCCCACCCCAGAAGGGGTGAGGACTCATGAGAACCGCTACCCTGAAGCCTTCTGCACAGCCGGCAGGCGGCTCACAGCCCAGAATCTCCCCTGGGCATTCCGACTGATCAGGGTCCCTCTCCCAGCAGTGATTGACTATCTCTATAAACCTGGGGAGGGGTCTTCGAGAATCTCCTAAGTTCCCACTTTCCCAGATGGATGCTCTTTTGTCCTGAGTTTCCTAAGCCCCACTGCCCCGACTCCCAAAGGGAAGACTTCTCTTCGGAGGAAGTGCCGTATGACAACGGCGTTCAGGGATGTGGGGCCTCACTCTGCTCTACTCAGGCAGTGTGGTAAGGAGCAGCGGGACATTTGGTGGCCCAGGCATGTTTTAGGACAGCAGAGAAGGAGCACCGTGCCTCCACTTGCCTTGAGCTTCCGTATGAGAGAACCTGTTTGACTGTTTTCCTCCTCCATCCCAGCAACCAGCTTTCTCGTGAGCAGTACCACCATGTGGGTGCTAATCTCTGGCCGAGAGCAGCTGTCTCCACTGTAATTCCTTTGACTTGTTTCTCATTCCCTTCCTCTGCCTCTGCCTCTGCCAAGTGTGTACATAAGTGTGTGTATGTGGTTCTTTGAATTGTGTGTGTGTGTGTGTGTGTGTGTGTGTGTGTGTGTGTGTGTGTGTGTAAGTCAATCTCAGGTATTATTCCACATTGTTTTGTGAGACAAGGTCTCTCTCCTTGACCTAGAACTCACAGTTCTGGTTAGCTAGTGACCCCACAAACCCTCCTGTCTCTGCCTTTTCAGTGCTGGGATTCGAAGTATGCATCACCATACTCAGCTCTTTGTGTGGGTTTGGGGATCAAACATAGGTCCTCGTAAGTCTCCACACGCTCCCCCAGCACCACCTACCTCTACCCTCTGCTTACTTCTAATGTGCCTTTTGTATTCTTGCTTCTCCAGCTTTTCTGTTCTCCTAGGGGCAAAGGGAAGCCAAGCGGCCTCATACTGACTCAGCTTAGCACTCTCCCAAATGCAATTAAAACGCGGAGGACAGGCAATCAATATTTCATAATCTACACAAAAACTGCTCTCTGGGATGGGCTGCTCTGGATGCTGACTCAGGGAGTAAGCTTGTGGCTGCAAATGCTGAAGCAGCCAGCTGCCGTGAGGAACTTCCACCTCGTTGCCAGTCTCCCAGCCCAGCTCTCTTCCAGGCACTCCTCCCACAGCTGGCGAGGTCAGATGCTAGGCAAGGCAGGGCCACACGGAGAAGGACCACATCCAGCGTAGCCTCGGTGGGGTTCCCTTTGCTCTTCCTATCAGGACCATAGGTGCCATCTTGGAGGAAAATGACAAGTGCAGGCATGTCTGGTGGACACATTCCCACTGTCCAACTTCCTGCATTCCCTGAACTCCTCCTCAGAACCCCCGGGATCACTCCCAGTGGTCATGGGCACCTTGAGACAAGATCCAAAGGATTTGTGACTAGGGCCAGTCAACTCTCTTTCTGAGACACATAGAGACCACTCCAAAGTGTCGAGGAGCTAAAAGTAAGTTCTGGGCCCCTTAATATGTTACCTGATAAAAACAAGCCCCATGTCAATGAGAGACCTTTGTTTCAAGCAAAAGCCAAGATGGATGGCTCTTAAGGAATGCCACCTGAAGTTGACATCTGGCCTCCACAGTCACACACACACACACAGTATATACTCACACATATACATGAACCTGCACACACACAAACACAGACACAGCATGCTTTTAGTAGAGGGACTGAGGCAGGAGGATTGCTGTGAGTTCAAGGTCACTGTAATGGCTAATATTGGCTGTCAACCTGATACCTGGGAAGAGAAAACTTCAATGAGGAATTGCCTTACTTCAGATTGGTCTGTGGCCATGTCTTGGAGGCATTTTCTTGATTGCTAATTAATGTAGGAGGGCATGGCCCACTGTGGGTGGCGCCATGCCTAGGCCAGTAGTAGGTCAGGGCTATATAAGAAAGGTTTAGCCAACCAGAAAAAAATAAAGCCAGCAAACAGCACTCTTCCATATTGCATTGTGTTTCCACACATTCAAACTACCCCTTTCTCCATCACCTGTGAATGGGAACGATACAGCATGGACCTGCAACACCAGCCTCCTTGTCTCCCCCTCCTTGACACACACCTACCATTACATTATTGGGAGACTTCCACACCTGCCCTGTCAAAGCTGCTCTTGTCACCCACTGGGTATCCCACTTCCTGAGCTGCTGCTGTCCCAGGCAGTCTTCACAGTCCTTGTGTAATTGCCTGCATGCCTATGAATACAGACCCACAAAGAGCAGGACAGTATCACGAGCACCCAGAGACTAGAAAAGAAGACGAGGATCCAGAGCCTAGGAGAGTAGGAGACTTATAGCCAGAGGTTGCATCTGCAGCAGGGCAGTCACAGGCTCCCAGCCAAGCAGGTTCCACGGCAGTCCACACTGGTTGTTTGTGAGCCCTTGGTGAGGCGATGATTGAGCAGAACAGTGCACAGAAGACGGATACAAACCGCCATACACACCATAGCACACAGCAAACACACAGCACACGCAGAGCAGGTGCAGTCTGGAAAGGTCTCCTGGAGGATGGCGGGGCCCTGTGGGTGTAGAGGACAAAAGGAAAGAAAGGCTCCCATGAGAACAGCAAGGATCCTTCCCAGGCAGATGGATGACAGGTTTTCCATAAACAGAAGACACAGACAGAATCCGGTGAGGTTGTTTGCACAGAGCAGAACTGACTGTCGGGCTCTGCTGCCGCTGGCACTGATGAATAAGGGCACTTGCACGATACCTCCACCCTACAGGCTTCTTTCTCTGTGTGTGAGCAGGTATATGTGCACATGTGTGCTCACACACTAGAGATGGACATCAGATATCGTCCTCAATTTCTCTTCATCTGTTTTTGAGTTGACATCTCTCACTTGAACCTGATTAATTGAGGCAGTCTTATTGGCCAATGAGCTCCAGGGACCCAGCTTTTTTCCATGTACTGATCATTGCTGAGGACCTAGCTTCTGCATGGGTGCTGGGAACGCAAACTCTGGTCCTCACACCTGTGCAGCAGGACCTTTATCAGCTAAGCCATCACTTTGGTCCCCACCTCCATCTTTCTAGGTGGCCAAGTAAGCCCCTCTTCTATCCATTGTGAACCAGATGTGTAAAGCATAGGCCAGGAGCTACTGAAACATGTCACTTTTGCTTACAAATAAGCAAAAAATCACATATGGTAGGAAATAAATTCACATGGTATTACATTGAATCCAAGATGTCAGAAATAGTAGAGGTGTGGCTGTCCTGGGCTCCTTTGGAGGCTTGTCCCTACCTGCAGGGATACCTGGGAGCCAGGAGCCAGGCTGCTCATCTTGCATCTGCATTTCATCTTCTTGCCTGGCTCTAAGAGGCAAGAGCATTAGAAATACCCAGCCACATATATGGGAAGCACTGTTGGGAACCATATTGGTGTGGTCATGTTTCTTGCTCCCCCCTCACTCTGGGTCCACCGCACCCAGCACCCAGCACCCAGCCCTTTCTGGCACTCATGAGTGGATTCTGTTAGCTCACTGCAGCAGTGGCCAGTGCAGAGGTGAGATCCACCAACCGTCCAGACTCTATCTCTTGGATAAAGAGGAGATACAAAGCTAAGCCCAGAGAAAACTGGCTTTTCCACAGCCCATGACCCCAGCCAGATGTGTAAAACATCTCTGGTGGCCCGGATCTACCTAAGAATCCACCATAAATTGTAGAAAAGGAAGGTGTTTACCTGGGAATGAATTTCATCTGTCCTTAATGCTAGGAAGAAAAGAACAAAAACACCGTTCTCCTGAGCACATGTTCATCTTTCACAAGGAGGAAGTTCAGGCTTCCTGTGGAAACTCCACTCTTTGCTCTCTGCTGTTTGGATAAAAAAAAAATACTTTAAATGAAATTTATCTTGTAAATGATACCTAAAAACAAAAAGATTCTATATATTAATGAGGTAACATGGTATTTTGAACATGTGTACTGTGTGCATCATTAAGTCAAGTAAAGCATCTCTCTCTCCAAATTCCTGTCCTTTCTTTATGGTGAAGACACTCAAACTCATTCTTCCTGGCTTTTTTTTTTTAAAGTGTCAATTAAAATTTGTTCTTAGATAATTAACAGATGTACACAGTATCCAATGCCCGTTCTCACCAAGCCCTCTCCCACCCCCACATTCTCCTTCATCCAGAATCTATCAATACCCCATACCTCAGAAGTAAAAGATGTAGTTCCACAAGCCCCGCCCCTTGCCATGACCACCTGTAGGTGGGGTCAGTCTTGTGCCGGCACAGTACAAGTGACCTCAGTGGTGAGTTCATGACTGCCATGGTTGCATCAAGTCTGGAGACTGGAACTTCAAAACCCTTCCTCCTGTCACTGGGCTCTTAAGACACTTCCCGACCCTCTTTCACAGTGTTCTCTGAGCCTTAGAGGGATAGTCTCAATGTCTCCTTTAGGGCTGAGACCACAGCTGTCACTTCTTTTCAGCATCTGGACAGCTGTGATTTTCTGCACTGACCACCATTCCTGTAAGGAGAAGTTTTTCTCTGGCTCAAAGCTTCTGAGATCTAAGGCACATTCTTCTTTCCACAGTTATTCTAATGTGTGGAGAACACCAGGACCTGTGGCTCCTGTCTGGCTATACTTCATGAGCCTTCCCAACATTCTCCCCATCCTCCTTCCTGCTCCCTTCTCCACATCATTCAGTAACGATGCTGTGATGATATCGCTTGTCAATTTGAAAGATCCGGCATCACCGAGGGAATGACTCCCTGGCTCTATCTCTAAGGGGTTTTATCTAAATTGGATTAAGGAAGGTGGGAAGAACCTAAACGTGGGAAGCGCCATTCCATGAACTGTCATCTTGACCTGAATAAAAAGGGAAAACTAGATAAGCACCAGCATATCTATCTCTCTCTGCTTCCTGACTGCTGAGGCATTATGACCAGCTGCCACAAGCTCCTCCTTCATGCCTTCCCTGCCGAGACAGCCTCAAACTGTGATTGAGAATAAGCCCTTCCCACCTCAAGGTATTTTGTCACTAGATGGGACTTGTAACCAACACAGCTTTTGCTTTCAACTGCTGTGAGAGAAAGGCCTGGTTGTTGTACTTCACATGCCTGCCAATTCTTTCTTCTAACAGAGACACTGTCATGTGACAAGACAGTAGGGCACACTCATTCTGATAAATACAGGGAATGTGCCCCCTGTTCTGATCATTTCTTCAGCCATCATTCCAGATACATGTCACAGGCATAGGCAAGTCCCTCACACCCAAGAGGAGAAGCAGCTGCTCACAGTCCCCTCAACTCCTCTTTTCAAAATTCAGGATTGTCAGGCTCGCAAGATGGTTCAGCAGGTAAAGGTACTTACAGCCAAGTCTAAGTACCTCTTATATGACACTATCCCTGGGGAAATACGACAAAATACCCATCATTCCAAATAGGGAACTGATGACAGATGAAAGTGAGGATACTGTCAAAGTCCAATTTGGTGAGTCAATGAGTTTTACTGCAGTTACACATAAAAGAATGGCTGAGGGTCACCTACAGGAGCAGAAATGACTCAAAGATAGCTACATCACCAAAGCCCTCCAGCATGATTGACAGCTAACAAAAGATAGAAATCTGGAAAGCAATCTACAGGCAGCTCAGTTGATTTACTCCTCTTCTAGACAACACTGTCTCTTCAGGCAGCTCTGCTTGTCTCTGTCTCTTCTGAGCCCCTCAGCTGGTCTCTGTTTCTTCCAAGTGGCTCAGCTGCTCTGAGCCTCTAGGCGCCTTAGCTCATCTGAGACTATCTCTCAGCAGTCCTTCTTATATAATCTGGAAAGGAGGTTAGTAAATCTGATCAGTTTCAGGAACTTCCTAATGCCTTTGAGTTGTTCACCTCCTGAACTAAAAGAGATTCCCTACAGGTTAGAATGTTTCACCTCCTCTTAGAACATCTTACGTCTTAAGGAGCTTCCCTCCTGTTTTATCCTCACAGGAAACAGCTACATGTTACCTGAATTTTATTCCCAGGCCTCACACTGCAGAAGGAGAGAACCGACTTCAGAAAGTTGTGTTCTCACCTCCACATGCACACTGGATATGCGCACGAGTGTGCATACACACACATACACATATACACAACATTTTTGCATTGTTTGAATTTGAAATAATTCTTTTTAAAAAAATGTTTATATTTATTTATGTATGTGAACATACAAAGGCCAGAAGAGGATGTTGGATTCCCTGGAGCTGGAATTACAGGCAGTTGTGAGCTGCCTGGCATGGGTGCTGGGAGACTGAACTTGGCTACCCTGAAATAGCAACAGAGTGCTCTTAACTCCTTAGCCATCTCTACAGCCCCTGTAGAAATAGTTCTTATTAGAAATAAGCATGCCAAGCATAATGAGGTCCTTCGTTTCACTGTCTAGGGTCTTATGGGCAAAGCCTCCCAGATCTCATAGGATCTTCCTTGTGACACCTGGCCCTGGTGAGGGGTTCATGGCCTTCAGTCACACAGGGTATCTGGGGGAATAGGAGCTACAAAACACACCTAGTCTGTGTGCACAGCCTTCACTTTGCAGCTGGTCAGTACGTATTGCCTTCTACTATTCTACCGAAAGCTAAACACACATAATAATCTTTCTGCAATGCCTGCCGTGTTGACATTTGAAATAGACTTTAAATTTCAAATTCCTTCTCCACTTATGATGTGACCTTGTATGTGTCGCTTAGACTCGTAGAACACCATTCTTCTCAACTGGGAAATGAGGCACATCATGGCTGTTGCAGAGTTGGTGACCAATGAAAGAGATAATATCATTTCCACAGAGCCTAGCATTGAAAACATAATAAATACATATTATCCATCCTTTCACCTAGTAACATTATTTAGGTCATAAACTCATTCATCTAAAACCTACTGAATGCCTTCCATACAAGAGCTGTTTTAGCAAGTCACATTACCTGTATTGAGTCACAGCCATACAATAATCAATAAGGAATGCTGGGCTATCACAACTTTGCCCCCTCCTCTGGAATCAATGTGATGATAAAAGCACTGTGGTAGTCAGCTTTAATTGTCAACTTGACACAGTCTAGAATCCCCTGGAAGGGAGTCTCCATGGGGAATTGTCTGAATTGTTTTGGTCTGTAGGGATGTCTGTGAGGGATCCTCTTAACTGTGTTAATTAAAGTGGGAAGATTCACCCTGAATTTGGCTGGGCCTTGGACTGAGTGAAAAGAGCAAGTGAATTGAGCGAGGGCCTGTCCAGTACCCATTCATTCCCTCTCTGCTCCTGACTGGGGGTGTGATGTGACCAGCTGCGTCACATTCCTGCTTTGATTTCCCTGCAGTGATTGGCTGTAGCTTGGAATTGTAAGACAAAGAAACCCTTTCCTCTGTAGGTTGTTTTCATCAAGGTATTTTATCCCAGAAACAGGAAACAGAGCTAAGGCAGCAGAAGCAGGTCTCTGACCTGCAGACAATGCGTACGTGTGCTCCTTCAGTGGATGTCTACTCCAGTTCACCAGCCTCTGGACTTAGCGTTAGGTGGCAGAGGATGAAGACATTGGAGGAATAAGGACACAGGGTTGCAGTAATTGTGAAATGGAGATTACAGAAGCAGGCACTCTACAAATCACAGAGCACTTCCTAGGAGAGAGAGGGGTTGAGATGAACTCCAGACTGTCTTTGAACCAACCAAAAGTGTGAGGTAGACAGCACTTAGGAACAACAGCTGAGGTTGACCTCATATCGCCTTATTCAAAAGCACATGTGTGCACCTTTGCATGTGTGAGCAAACATACACACACACACACACACACACTAACTCAGCATGTATATTAACCAAATGTGTCATGAATAATCAACACTATAGTGCTCTGACTTTTCCTAAATCTTCTTTTATTTTCAAATGCTTTGATTGGGATATGCTAACTATATATAATAATGGGCTTCATTGTGACATATTTACATAATGTACATAGCATATTTCTAGTATTTACCCTTGCTACCCTCTCCTGTTCGGCCCCCACTCCAATGAATCCCCTTCTTCTTCCTAACTACCCAGTTCTGCTTCTCTTCTCTCTCTCTCCCCCGTGTGTGTATGTGTGTGTGTGTGTTCCAATGAGTTTCATTTGGGTTGTTGTTTATGGGAGATTGAGTGGGAGTTCATTTACAGGCACATGGATACCTAAAAGCACTATAACACTGAAGAACATTTCTCTCCTTCCCCTATCAACTGCTAAACATAAATATGTACTCAAGCCCCCAAGAGCCCCTTCCCCTCCATGACAGGGTTTTGACCAGCTTAGTCTTGTGCAATTAATTACAGGTACCATGAGTTCAAAAATGAAATGGCCGTGTCC